CAGAGCAGCCACAGTTCCCCAGCTGAACCCCAGGCACCACCTGAGCTGAACAATGGAGCAATAGAAGTGACTCAGGTGTGTGCGGTTTGTGGGGATCATGGGATTCATCTAGATGTGTGTTTGACTTATAGACCCATAACCTAACCCTGACATCTCTGATCTGTTCTGGCAGATTCATTTTGCAGGTGGCTTTAATTTTGTGGGCTAAATGTCAGCCTCTGTGGACATGCGCATCAACACAACTCATTGGAATTTTTAAAAATGGAAAGTTCTACACGTTTACTGCATGCAAAGTTTATTTTTACCCAAAATATGGTTAAGCTGATCCAAGTAATGCTTCCCCGGAAAGATCGGCCTGTTGGACAGCATCTCAGCCAGGATGCAACCCACTGACCAGATGTCTATGGACTTGGTGTAGCCCTGAAATCAAGTAGAACAGACATAATCATGATTACAGTAGCTAACTTAGTTATACACAGCATTAATATACCATGTGCCTATCAGGTGCTGTAAGTCATTTAAAATTATTCTCCTGGAGGACAAATAGAAAATCATAAAGACAATCAGGTTTTGTTCTTTTATGATAAAGGTAACAATTTGCAGAGCCTCCGCTAAAAGTTTAAAGTGAAAGGAAAAATTCTGAAAAACGGACAAAAACATTCAGACCGCACAACAAACGGACAGATGGGAGAAGCAACACGTGGTCTAGCACCAAGAGACAAAAAAGTCCGACTTGATAAGGACATATTAGTGTGTACGGTATCTATGGACTGGCACCAGGAAGCTGTTGCGACTGAGTGTGAAGTCTAAAGGTATCAAAGTTTTTCTTACAGACTAAATAATGCAGCTGAGTCACACCATAATGATACACTGTACTACCAAACAAATACAGACCAAACAAATTCATTATCAGGAAAAACTCTGACAAAGTTCATCATGGAGGACTCGACTTGGTCAGACCATCTCCAAAACAAAACAGGTTCCCAGTATGAGGCAGCGAGTACCAAGCAAAAGGAATCCAACAGTGAGTAACTGGAATAACCAGTAACTGGTGCAGACCTTTACTGATTACATGGCCACTGCTGCTCAAACTGGAGAAAACCTCAATGCTTGCTATGATAGAAAGATGCCAGAACACAAAGCAATGCACTACGCAGCCACAGAGCAGCCGCAGAGCAGTCA